TTTAATTTTTCACAGAACCTCTTTAACCACTTGCCAACCACTCTATAGCCAAATGACCGCTACAGCGCGGTTGTCAAGTTATGGGAGGGCGTCTGACGTCGCATTGGAGCGTTTTTACAGCTAAAAAACTCCTCTAGTAACCCACTAGTTATGGTTTCCCCCCCCCCCCCACCATCCAAAAAATGCTGCCAACAACCACCGTCCGATCCTGTCTATCTGCCATGGTCCCATAGGAGCACATGTGGGGGGCCCCTGCCAAAAAACGTCGATTACAGTCTATATGCATGGTCACATAGGATAACATGCTGGGGGGTTTACTGACTGTAGAAAAAAACCTCAACAGCCAAAAACGTCCATTGTGAATGAGGACTTACATTCCCCAATCCATGTCCTTACCATACTTAATACTATGTAGCTGTTTTCATTGGGTACATATGTTGCTACAAAGAAAACTATTGGACCTACTCACAATTGGGACAGATTGAATGGAGGCATTGCCATTTTTTCACATGTTCACAGAACAAATGATGCAGCGCAACAGTTGAGGAACATTACCCCTACAGTTTCAGCCAAGTAAGCACCTATGCAGTGAAAGCACTAGCTGCTGGAGCCTGAAAGCTGCACAATAAGTACCCAGTGACTGCATGCAGGTACAGTAGGTAATAAGTGCTTGCCCACATGTCCCTAGTCTTTAAATCGGACCTTTAAGGTTCAATACTGCACACATGCTGATGTGTTGTGGTTTTGAAAGGGCTGCCAACGCACCACCAGGAACAGTTTAACACACCTTCACCTTCTGCCCCAGCATTTACATCTCTGCAATGTGTGTGCTAAAATGAAGGTCCATTGGAGTTACACAAATGTGATTCATGCTATACCATGCCTAGATTATTGAAGGTCCCTCCTTGTTGGCCTACCTCTACACAGGCTCCCCTTCAGTCGTGAATGCATCTGCCAGACTCCTCAACCTAACCCAACCACTCACTGTCTGCCAACCCTCTTTCCCAATCCTTCTACTGGCTTCCACTCATCCAACCTATACAATTCAAAGTACTAACCACAACATTCAAAAACCCATCCAAAACTCTGCCCCAAGCTACATCACTAACCCCATCTGAAAACATCACGCAAACTGCCTTCTTTTCTTCTACCAGGATCTCCTGCTCTCTAGCCCCCCTTCCATGCTCGTCTCCAAGGTTTCCCAGAGCCCCCTTTTTCCTTTGGCACTCCCTACCCCAATCCATCCATCCTTCTCTGTTCACCTTCAGGCGGTCCTTAATCTCCTCTTTTTAGAGGAACCTATCCCACCTCTACCTAACATCTGGAATTTTACTTTCTTGATCCGCTCACTTGCCTATACCAGGGGTAGGCAACCTGCGGCTCTCCAGCTGTTGCAGGACTACAAGTTCCATCATGCATCTGAAAGTCATGGCTATAACTTTCAGTTTTGTAATGTTGCAATGCCTCATGGGAAATGTAGTTCCACAACAGCTAGAGAGCCGCAGGTTGCCTACCCCTGCCCTATACTCTTAGATTGTAAGCTCTCACAAGCAGGGTTCTCTGAACCCTCCTGTGTTGAATTGAAACTATATTTTCTCCTTTAATTTTGCAAAGCACTGTGCAAATTGATGGTGCTATATAAATCCGGTATGTATGTTTATGTGATGCAGTCCTCTTTAGTAAACGTAAAGCAAAACATAGCAGTCAAATGCATTTAAAAACAACCAAGAAATGTGTTCCTAACTTATCGCTTTCAGACTGGGGGAAAAATACAGCTGGCGTGGGCTAATGTTAGCATCAGATTTAATTAAATCCGTGACTGCACGTTTACAAATGTGGATTCACACCATATCCCACACTGTGAAGATATTTAAATGAACGGTTTTAACATGTGTTTTAAATGGATTCTGTATGGACTGTTCTTCCAGAGAAATCTTATATCAAGAAATGTATTTGAAAGATGTGAACTTTGCGCCAACAGTTTTGGTTCTAATAACACCTGAAAGAATACAATGTTAAACAAAAAAAGTTTCATTTCATCTTGAAACTTTTGTTTCCTTAAGACTCGGTTTACACTACTGGGACCTGAAAGTCATGCAACTTGAGTACGACTTTGATGCATGACCTTCATGCCAATCTGACTTTGCCTGGGTAATCTTCTAATGTCCTATCCAAATCACATCAATATTGATGAGCATATGTCATGGTGGCAACTTTCATTAAAGTCTGTGGGCTCAAGTCTGATAGAAGTCACCTTGAAGTAGTACAGGAACCCTTTCTAAAGTCGGATCAACTTCCGTAGTGCTAATTAAGACAGCTGTCATTGACTAACATGGGATTTCACAAGTCATGAGAATTGGGGTCTTATAAGTCAAATCCCAAGTCATGGCAGTGTGAACCAAGCCTAAGCAGTACAAACACATTACATTCTTCTGTCCAGTTCCTTACAGTAAACTAAATGGCAGTATTAAAGAACATTTGAACATATCTGTGGTTTGGGTGGCTTTAAAGACCTCATAATTAGGTGTGGTTTATGCTATTCCCACTGAAACTAATAGGATGTGCTCTGCAAAACCGCAATTTGTTGCTAAAGTAACTGCAGAAAAACCATGGAGAAAAAATACCTAAAATCTTGGGGTTTTCATAAAAAAGGTATGCTTTTTGGAAAAAAAAAAATAAAAAATACACAGTGGCAGCCAATCAGAAGCAAGAGGTGTGTTACATTACTTTGACTAATTTATAATCAGACCTGTGTAATAAGTAATTTCCATAGTCCACAAACAGTGGTTCAGGATCAACAAGAGCTTGTTTGTCTGGTGCCCCTTTGGGACTTACAGTTCCTTTTAATAAGACACCTTTTTAATATATACATTTCAGGGACAAAAACTATTTTGGTTCCTATTTGAAGATTCATAAAATGTTGCTTGATCTGACAGATATCTAGTATTGGGTATACTGTTACCAATGGCTCTCTTTAGGTTTGACATTCTTTTGCATTCACCCTTCTATGTACTTTTTTTTTTCTTTTTTAAACAGTTGCAAAGTTTTTTTTTTGGTTTTTTTTTTTTTTTTTGGTTTTTTTTTGTTTTGTTTTTTTAAGTATTTCTGCTCTCGGATTCTCTCAATGACAAGGTTTTTTTCCTTCAGATCTTGATGGGTTTTTTTTGTTTGTTTTTGTTTTTTTTTTTTGTATTAAACGGGCCACTGGGTTAGGCTTTTTTTTTTTTTTTTTTTTTTTTTTTTAATCACATTTTTCTTGTAGGCCGGTAAGTTACAGTATACCGTTCAGTAAGCTCTTATCTTGGATGTGTGGCTTGTGCAGTAATGTTACAGGACACGCTAATATGACAAAACAAACACCAAGCTGCACATGGCCTTGATCTTGGCATACAAAAGCAGCCATCTCTCCTGGGATGAGTAATAATGTATAATGAGTTCAGTGTCTGCCCTATTCAGAGCTGGGCACAATTGCAGTATTGAGTTGCATTGTACTCAAGACAAGTTGTTTTGCATTTGCTAGTCAACCCACTTTAAATCACTCCACTATAGTCTGTTCAATACATCAGCTTACGTTTTTTGATTGTGTTTTACAGTTGGAGGCTTTTAACGGAAGGAAAATGTATATACACTCTCAGAATGTCTGATTAAGATGTTAGTATGCACACATGTAAATTTAGTTTATTTTAAACGAAAGCAAGTTAAATGTTGTCATAGTAACCTTCTTGCTAATTCTGTTTATTAATAGTTGTTCTATGAGAATACATACATTGAAAACTTGCACAGCATACATACTGATTGGATAACTGTATAAAAAGGAGTGTCTCAGATGTGTATGTAGGTATAAAATAAGAGTTCTACTTGGTGTTTAGTAACGATTGTGACTAGACAGAAGTGTCAGCAGACATTTTGCCTCTATAGTCATTTCATCTTCCCCTGCCTACAGATTGGACAGTGAAGGAGCAGCATGTTGATGAGGTAATTTGTGTGCTGTCATCTCCTCCAAGTTTATTGGGTCTCGTGAACATGGGCATCAGACTCAGAAGCAAGTCAAATTCTGTATGTCCTGAGTTGTTGTCCATTTGATTTGTATTTGCTTTGTTTTTACTTCTATTGATTTGCCTATTTTCAGTAATGGCTTAGATGGTAACAAAAAGCCTATGAACATGAGCCCTTAGGCTGACAAAAGAGCTAAAGTGAGCTTTAAAGTTGAGTGTGCTGACTCTCCTTCCATTCTGGGTATAGTACTGCTGTACAGAGTCTTTAATCAACTCAGATTCAGGTACATATGTTTGTTGTAAGACAAGTTATTTTTAATGAATATTTAATTAGATTTTAATGTTTGCCTGGAATTAGACATTCGTTTGATTCCCTAATATGTTGAGCTTATCCCTTGCATTTTTTCCATTGTTCCCCATCTTGACCATATAATACCATCTGGAAGAAGGTGGTTGTATTGCCGCGTGACCCTACTGTCATAACATAAACATACCAGAATCCCAAGGATTCTGTGTTGCAGTCTGCCTAGGTAGCTTTTCAAAGCTTCAGCTATAGTTCTAGCCAACACCTGTTCATATTTCTTTAAGATGCTAAGAGCTACGAAGACATCAGGTTTTACTTTGGAATTGTCTGAAAATAATTTTTGAGAATCTTTGTCACCTTGTTTACTTAAAGACTAACTACTTTTAGATTACGTTACACTCATAGGGTGTAACTTGGTTGCAAGCAGATCTCTGTGAATGAACTAGTCCTGTCTGCCCCAGCACTCCTAGTTCATTGACACTTTTTACAGTTCTCTAAAAGTCTGTGCCTCCGTAAAGACATGAGCTGATGGAAAGAGTTTGTAGGAGCCTGATCGTGGGTCAGTGCTTTGCAAGCTCATTTGTAAAAAAAAATGATTAAACAAAAAAATACACTCTTTTGCGGCAAATATTGGTGTAATTATTTATTTGTTTGTAAAAGGTGAATTTAGTTTGTAATATATTATTTATTTATTTTTCTAGGTTTCTGAAAATGCATTCAGATCACTCACCGCAGCTGGTAAGTACTCCTTTTTCATATCCAATTATCATAAATATTTTTGGATGCATTGAAATATGCTTGGTATACATATTTACATATTTTTTGCTCTATGTGATATACAGTTTTTTTTTTTTTTTTTTTTTTTTCTGGTTTTGTAGGAGTAGCTTCAGTCTTGTACTCATGTATAGGTTAAAGTGAAACTGTCACCATGGCAATTCCTAAAGATGTTGTGTAATGACCTTCACAGCAGCTTGGTAACCCATGTGTTTACATTGACCTCCATGCGCATTTCCAGACTTGCATCCTGAATTGCATGAATTGAATATTGCATGTATGATTTAATGGTATACGTTGGGCTCCTGTTCATCTCATTGTCAGTCTGCCCAAACCAGCATTAGGTACTAAGCAGCAGGGGCAGTGAGTCCACGAAAGGGTAAAGGTAAAATAGAAAACTTGTTGCTGAATTCCTTAAGAGACGTATGATGTGTCAACCTTCTCTGTATAGTATAAATGACACATCCTCAAACAAATTGACACATAGGCAAGAACAGCATGATAGATTCACCAGGGGCCCAGGTACCATCAGAGGAGTTTGTACTTGGCCTCTATGGCCACCACCTGAGCTAAGCTTTTTACCATGGTGGCCCAAATGCAGAAAAAGTCCCAGCAGCATTTTGAAATTGCAGCCTGCAGGGAACCGCAAATGCATTACGGTTTTCAGTGCTGGAGCAATTTTCAGTGCATGCGGCCTACCATTAGGATTAATGGCACCCGCACACATCCAGCTCAATCCTCTTTTTTTTTTTTTTTTTTTTTTTTTTTTTTTTTTTTTTTTTTTTTGTGCTGGTGGTTGTAGCTGCCGGAACAGTTGAGGACTTGCAGCAGGAACCACCCGAACAGATCGGAAACTAGGCTAATGACTTGGAGTCCTTTGTATCCAGTGCTCCAAAATACCAGGCTCCTTCATCTTTACCCAAGTCGGAGCCTGATATGCCTGGCCTAGAAGGCATCAAAGTAAATGAAGAGGACCCAGAGGCAGTGCTAGAGGAGGCTGTGAAAGATTTATTTATTTTTTTACATCCAGACTTCTATACAACGGAAATTGCGGCTTCATGTAATATACTTGCTGATGTGGATATGCTCACAATACCTTGGCATTGTCACAGTTTATTATCCTTCATTCATCTCACTGTACCCTTTTGTGTACAAAGAGACCAGCAAAATGTAAAAAAAAAAAAATCACTAACAAATAGCATGGTCAATCCTATGATTTTGTCAGTCAAGGAAAGATTTTCATTCCTGCAAAAATCATTGCCTAATTCTGGAGAGTGAAAAAAAGAGTTAATTAATAAGTGGTCTGTTGATCCTGCCACCCTATCTTAAACAAACACATCTGCAGGCCCAGTTCTGCAACCAACAATCACTGTAATTTCTGTCAAACAGCTAATTGGACTAGACTAACCAAAAAACAAACATGCCAGAACTGTGTGTTAACTGATCAAATACAGCCTTTACCTTCTGCTCTGCTCATTTGTGTAGATGCCTTAGAACAAGGAATGAAACAAATTTCCATAATGGCTCTAATCCCAATTCACATGCACAGAATTTTGTAGCTCAAAGGCTGGACGGCTGAAGTTGCCTGTAAGACCCCTCACATGTAGGCCCTTTTGAAGAAGGGCATCTTTTTGAGGAGGCACCTGACAAAATTATGTCACTGGGGGAGGTTCTATTTCCACAGTGGAAGATTGCACCCCCCCCCCCCCCCTCGTGAGCCTCTGTCTCTTCAAAACACAGAGCACCTAATCACTCTGCCCAGGTTTCAACTTCAAAACCTAATTATATGGTAGGTACTTTAAGATGCAAACAAGGTGCAAGTCAGGCTGTAAGCAGTTGAAATTATATAAAAGGAGCCACACAGAGATGTATAAAGAAGCCTGATTTTCAGATCCATGTGACTGCAAGAATTTAAACTAGAACAGATAATCAATATACATAATACTGATTCTGAATTACATCAGTCTTAAAATATGACCGTTACCTAAGTTTATTGGCAAAAAAGTCTATACATAATGTACCAAATTTTTTTCAAGTAGTAAGGAACAGTGAGGAAAACCACCTAAAGGTTATGCAAGTTAAAAAAAACAAAAAAAAAAAAACACAAAGGGTAACAAAAGCACATCTAATATATTAGTGGAAAGATAGGGGAAAAAAAAGGGGGGATGGGTGGTGTATTATGAGTAGAACCCCTCTGGGCACATGGGATAAGGAGATGGGAGGCTCAATATGTAGCTACTAATGGGGATTTGCCCTCATCTGTATGAAAGACCAGTTTCCAGTAAAACCACCTTTTGCAATAAATGTTGTGTTTCTTTTGGAAAGATAAGACCAAATCTTCCATCCTCCTTACTTAGTTCCTCTACTTTTGAGATCCACAATGATAGTGAAGGGGGAAACTGGTCTTTCCATTGTAGTGGATTGCACGATTTTGCAGCATTAGGGAGGTGAAGAAGGATTGACTTGCTGTAGGTTTTCACTGGTATCTGGGAGTCATGTAGGAAAAAGGAGTCTTCCTGTAGATCAAAGTCTGTAGATTTTTATGGTGTCCTTCTAACTTCCTTCCAAAAATTGTTTACGTTTGGGCAAGACCAGACAATATGTAGGATATTTCCCTGTTCCTCCTGGCATCTCCAGGATTCTGATACTAAAGGGAAAAAATTATGTAGATTTGAAGGTGTTCTATACCATCTGGAAAGGATTTTGAAATTGGTTTCCTGCAATCATGTGCATATGGGCGATTTGGAAAAATTAACAATCCTCTTAGTTTGTTCCACATTGAAGGATCTTTGTAGATTCATCACCCATTTCTGAAGATAAGGTAGTTTGTAAGCACATGGGGGAAATTAAAAGATTAAAATGTTACTAAACCCAGGGCCCTGCATTCACTATATCTGGTCTCCCACAGTACACACAACATGGAAATGCAATTATTTTAGTAAATATAAACTGCTAAATACTTTTTCGCATCAGCAGTTAGAGCAGTCTTGTGACTTCTATCAGTGTCCAGCAGAGCACATGTTAAAGCTTGTAGGAGGAGTTTTAATTTTGCTTTGGGAGGATGCAGAACCCCTGACCTCTGGACAGTGCTGATTGGCCCTCTGCTGATCACATGCACTCTCCCAAGAAAGAAGAAAAAAAAAAAAAAACCCCTAGAAATACTGAGCATGTGCAAAGTGACTCCACATGATGTGTCTCAGGAGATAAACCGGTGACACTGGAAGAAGGGGAGGGTCAGAGAAGTCAGGATCAAAAAGTGTTTTTAAAAAATGTAGAGGATTACCCTTAGGTTCCACAGTGAGTATAACAAGCATACTTTACTGCATATACAGACTGATTTTACTGTTGTGGGTTTAGTAACACTTTGTCAGGAATAGGATGTGTCTGACTCCTTTTTTAAAAAAAAAAAAAAAAAAAAAAAGAAGCTTTTTAAGTGGAGTCAGAGGCCATTGAAAAGAACAAGGGGGAGGCAGAGATCCCAGAAATATTCATCCTATTTTGGACCTAAAATCCCTTAACAAATAACATGAAAAAAAAAAAAAATTGCATGAAATCTGCAAGGTTGTTGCCTCTCTGAAAAAATAATCTTTTATCCGTCCATCCAAGATGCCTATCTGCATAGTCTTATTTATTTACCTTGACAGTGTTTTTTGCACTTTACAATGGACGGCATTCATTTCCAGTTTGTTGCACTGCCTTTTGGCTTATCCTCTGCTCCCAGAGTATTTACAAAGGTCCTAGCACCTCTTCTTGTCCTTTTTGGTACTCTGGGCACCCAAGTCACAGGTTACATGGATGACCACCTTCTGAAGGATGTATGCCCCATCCAGCTATCTGCAAACATCCACAGGACAATTTACATGCTCCAGGCAGTTGGGTGCTCTGCTTCCAGTGATCTGCTCTCCAGCTCTCTGTTCTTCTGTAATTTTTGGGTCTGGTCTTGGACACATGGCAAGGAATGGTTTTCCTTCCAGGGAAGAAAATGCTCACACTCAAGAATTGAGGTCAAAGAGACATCCCACAATGAGATTCTCCATTGGTGTTCTAGGCCGACACAGCATCCTGTCAACCTGAAACAAGTATGGTTTTGTTTTTTTTTTTTTTTTTCTCTCAATCTACCCATGCTCCTGTTCAGCCAAGCAAGCAAATTTGGATTTCAAGCCCAACCTTAACAATAGAGAAGTCTTTCCTTCCTTCTCACTGGTGATAACAACAGATATCAGTCTTTCAGGCTGTGGAGGGGTGTTCAACTTCCTCCTCCTCCAGGGAACATGTCATTGGTGGAAGGTGGAAGATCCTCTCATCCCATCAAAAACCTGAAGCTCAGAGCAATTAGGGTGGCTGTGCAACACTGGATTCCAATTCTGCAAGGACACCCAACTGTGGCCTACATAAACCACCAAAGAGGCACCAGGAGTCACACAGCCTGAAAGGAAGCAAGGCAGGTGATCTCATGGACAGAGACTTGCTCTCCAGTGATCTCTGTGGTCCACATCCCAGTAGTGGACATCTAGAAAGTGGATTACCTTAGCTGCCACTGCCCAGATCAAAGGAATGGGCCCTTCAGCCCAACATATTCAACCTGATGTGTCAGAGGTGAGGGACCCTAGACGTGAATATCTTGGCTTCCAGGTTCAACAAAAAACTACCTCTGTTTGTGACCAGGACTAAGGACCTCTGTCTGGTATTGGATGCCTTGATTATCCCCTGGTCTCGGGTCAGGCTAATCTATGCCTTCCCTCTCAGTGCAAATTCTACTTTGTCTACACAACAAAATAGAGCATGAGAAGAGGATGGTGATTCTCTTTGCACAAAAACTGGCCTCGAAGAACCTGTTACACAGACATACTCGGACTAATAAGGCATGACTCCTGACCCCTTCCCAACAGGTCAGACCTTGCTCAGGGCCTTCTGTTCCATCCTGCTTCTCGGTCACTAGTTTTAAAGCATGGCTGTTGATGCCC